CCGCCGTGCTGTGCGCGCTGGTGACGGTGTATGTAGCAGAGCGCGCGGGACACACCGGCCGAGAGGGCGGGCTCCAGGCGCGGCGCGGCGGGGGCGCCGCCCGGGGGCGGCTCCGCGCCGGGCGGCGGGGCGAGCAGCTGCTGCAGGCGCGCGGTGACCGCGATGCATAGGGAGGCTGGGTCTGCGCCCTCCTCCGATGTGCAGTAGAGGATGGGGCTGCAGGGGTTTGGGCGGACGGGTCGGGTTAGGAGTCGGAAGGACAGGATAGGAAGGTGCGCCGGCGGGTATTGAAGGGACCGATGATCTGACGTCCAGGGGACAGGGTCAAGGGTGCGCCGTATTGCCGGGCATGGGGCTGCGGTTGCGGCGCTGATGGGTGCGTGGATTCGCCGCTTTGAGGGTGCTACTGCACGGCGACGCCTGCGGCCGGCGCTGGCGGGCGTGTTTGTGCCCAAGGGCGCTGCTGTGCCGCGAGTGCCGGCTATTGAATGCGCTGCTCTCCCAAAGAAAAAGTCGCGCCAGCTAGCGGCCGGTGCGAGTCGCACGGCCGCCCACCTGCTGCCCGGGTGCATTGCCATCACGCACTGTTGGTTGCGCTCGCTCAAGAGCAAGTGAGCCTTCAGAAATGTGAGCACCTGGGGCGGCGGGCGAGGAGGGGCGGCGGCGCACAGCGACGCGCGTGCTCGTCACAGCCGCGCTCGTCTCTGCTTCTTGCATCGCATCGTTTGAAGCAAACCGGGCTCACATGATGCGGCGAGGGCCATCTGCAAAATCAGCCCAACCGCTTTCATGAAGTGATCCCAGCTGCGGCCGCCCCGGAGTGCTCAGTGCTTCGGCGCGATAAGGGCGTTTGGCATTGCCTGGGGACGCGCCTGCTGCAATATGACGTCCGCCGGCACCGCGCAGCCGCCGAGCAGCTGCGTGTCCAGCAGCAGCACCAGCAGCTCGCCGGCGCCGTCTGCAGGGCGGGTGTCATGTGGGCACGAGGTCATTCAGGCGGCGCGACGGCCGCGCAGTGGCGCTCTGGGGGAGGGCGACTGGTGCTGTAGTGCAAACCGCGGGGCGGCGCACCTGCTGGCATCGTGCTCCAGCGGCCTGCTGGTCACTCTGAACAGTTCTCAGTAGCAACCCCTTCCCAATACTGCCACTAAACTCGCGATGTAAGGTCCAAACCGCGATCCAGCCTTGAAGATCTACACTGGCATGTAGACTTACGGTGCATATACTGATTTCAAGCTCTTTGCACGAGCAATTCATACACTCGTAAGCTCGGCTCGAACACGCGGCTCTCGGCATGTGCTGCAACGTGTCACCTGGTGCCGCTATGGTGCCACGGTTGCAACGGCATAGAAGTGATGGCTACCGTGTCAATCAATCGGTGAGAAGTTCTTTCGTACGTCATCTCTCCCAGTGGTTGTGGCTGTTCACCACGATCTCGCCGCCGCGACCTCAGCAAAGGCTCGTTCATATATCCAGAAGCGCATTAAACAGAAGTAGTGGCGACCTGATATCGTATCATTTGCTGAACATCATCACGCAACTCTGAGCAACGGCGGCAGCGGCGCATCCGCACGAGCAGCAGCGGCGGCGGCACGCACAATGGGCAAGAAGCGGAAGCAGCAAGAGGTGGCTGTTGAGGAGCAGCAGCCTGAGCCAAGCAAGCAGCACAAGCAGCAGCAGCAGCAGCAGCAGCAGCCGCAGCGGCGACCAGGCAAGCAGCGCAAGGGCGCCGCCGGCACGCCCGTGCCGGCCGCCGCCCCCGTGGCTTCACCGGCCGCTGCGGCGCCGGCGGCGGGCGGCGCGGGCGGCGCGATCACCTTCAAAAACAAAGAGAAGGTGCTCGTGCTGGCCACGAGGGGCATCGCGTACAGGTAGGGCCGGACGGCAGCGGGACAGGCACTCCCGAGTTGCCCGGACACTTCTTCTGCAGCAAATCAATCACCGCAGCGGCAATCTGCGTGTGCCACAGGGCACCGTCGCGTCATGTGCGACGCCGTGTAGCAG